AGTCATGTGATAGGTTGTTGGTCTGAATCCGAAACGGGTATGCGCTCAACATGGAGAGAGCTATACAGAGTAACAAATACTTCATTTAAAAGCCTGGAAGGGCGAGATGTTATTGTAAATACTGACAACAAAAATGTGGTTTCAATTTTGAAATCCCGTAGCAGAAAGCAGTATTTGCACGACGTTGTGGTTAACGATACATGTTCGCAGCAAAGTATAAATATATTACCGAAATGGGTTTCAAGAGATGATAACAAGGAAGCAGATTTTTATATTGATGTACTGATAGTGACGATTGGTCCGTTTAAAGTCACGTGTTTGAGACACTAGATAAAAATGGGGTCCTCATACATTTGATTTGTTTGCATGCAGTACAACACACATATAGAAAGTTTTTCTCAAAGTACTGGTGCCCAGGGACTTCCGGCATTAATGCATTAGAACATAAATGGATCAATGAAAACTTTTGGCTTGTACCGTCTCATAGATTAGAAGTTAATTGTTTACATAACATATTTTCAGGCAAACGCACATGCACACTTGTAAATCCAATATGGATGTCGGCGCCGCCATTTTGGCCTATTCTCTTCCCCGAAAGAGTATTGACAAACGGAAGTGTTTTTGAGCATTTAATCTTTCCCACAGAAAAAGCTGACAAAGCGAGTTTGGGGAAAAATGGCATTTTTGACGGCAGAAATTTAGAATTCGGCTTAATTGCTGTCAGATTCGTGTAGTACATTGATTTTTATATTTTTGCAAGCCTGAATATAAAGAGTTGTATAGATGCAAAAGTACATGAAAGTTGGTAGCGTCATGGAAGATTCAATGAACTGTCGACTAAGATGTCTTTACTGTTGGTTAAGTCGAAGAGTGACAGCACAGTTTTAAAGTATTATTCGTATTTTTAAAAAAAATGGGAGGATTTCATTACATCTAAGGGCGGTGTAGCAATACCCGCTGAGCCAACTCATGTTGCCTTATATCTTACAGAATTAATTGACAATCATCCAGTTCTATTGTTTCAAATGTTGTTTATAGTTAAGAGTGGGCTTATTCTTTGAGAAATTAACACGATCCTATTGATAACTTGTTTGTGAAAATTTACTTGAAGCTTTAAAAAGACTGTTTTCAAAACCTAAGACAAAGAAGGGTGTTGTAACAACTGACAATTTAATAATGTTGTGTGATAAATACATTCAAAGTTACGATATTCTTGTGTTCTTGTGATTTAGCTATGATTCTAATAGCATTCGCAGGTTTTATGAATTAAGTAGCCTTAGGTGTAATGACGTTCTTTTCCAAAGGCGAGTATGTAGTTTGTCCATATACAATGTTACAACGTTACATGCGTGTTCCAGGTTTATCTGTGACAGATGATACATGTTTATTCAATAAAATAGATAAATACAGAATCCCTAAAGAAAGCCCAACACGCCATGTTATCGGTCAAAAAACATCTGTAGACTAATTTTCAAAGATAAGCCACTTAGTTACACGCGAGCTAGAAAATGTCTTATTTTGCGTTTAAAAAAAAGTTATTCAAGATTTGAACATAAGTATTCATTCACTTCTAGCGGGAGGTACTATTGCGGCCACTAACGCTGGTATAAATGATCTGCTGGAAAAAACACGGTCGATGGAATTGTGAAAATATTAAAGACGGATACATTGGTGATTCTTTAGAAAAATGATTGTTAATCACAAAACCATTGCATTTGTAAAGCACGTTTCCATTTTCCAGCCCGCTCTTTTTGTAATTCTAATTTACTCGTCTGGTATTAGTTTTGTTTTGTATTTGAAACGTCTTTAGTCAAGAAAAGACTGTTTCCTTTATCTGATACCATGTAGTTTGGTTTGTACATGTAATTTTCGATCTTATGCAAATTCACTGACCCGTCGGGACTTCTTATCAGAATTTTGTTTTTGTAGATGTGTTTTGAAGGAAAAATGAGATATATGAAATACGAGTTTCATTTCGATTTTATAGCATTTAAGGTCCGGGTAATGAGCAAAATCAAAAAGTGTGAAACATCATTTTTGCATGTCTTACCTTAAAAAACATATACGATACCTTCTGATCACTTTTCCTAGGCTTCAGCACCTTGCCTTCAGCGGTTACATCTTTTAATTGTGTTATTGGGCTAGCGACGTGGGCATCTGTGACCGTGCCATTTAGCCACGTCCATCAAATTTGTATTTGCTTTTTAAAGCAGTTTTGCACAAACTAATTTAATGGCTAATGCCTTTTAGTCACTAGTAGATAGTTGAAGAATCAGTATCTAATATGTACGATTTGTACATACCGTTTTAATGCCGCATGTTTTCGAGGCTGTGGTCCGTTCGATCTTAGTTATTTGTTCTTAACATAATCTCATATTCTTTACGTTTATCGTTTATGAAGAAAAAATATCTAGTTATCTCTTTGGAGAAAAATTGATGAATTCTTGAGCTATGCTTCATTGCTAAGATGTGGCTCCCTCATTTTTTTTAAGATGATGCAGGCGAGTTATAGTGCAATTTAGTTAATTAAGTACGAGTTAATTAGCTAACTGGTGGTTATGTTCGTTTGTCGTTTGTTGTTTAAACAAATACATCTCGTCTTTTACAGATTTGTGGAACAAAGTTATATGAACATGACATCAGTATCACGTTGACATAATTCAGAAATAATTCATCATTCAATTGAATCTATTTTTGCAACGTTTAAGGGTATCAAAAATAGATACATGACTCTATATTTGAAAATAACTGCCGTAAACACGCTTTTATCCGATACTATCAATTGAGATTGTACCGAAATTAGTCCAATATACATTTCAGGGGAAAGATGAAATCAACAGCACTTGAACAAAAACTCGTTGATTCATGTGCGGTTCAAAGATAGCATGAGATTTTACTGATAAACGCTGTAGAACGTGGAAATTTGGTTAATATCTAACTAGATTTTATTAAAACACTAAAATGCCTTTTTTAAAAATGAAAAATGGATGCTCATTCCCCTTCTTTCTCCGGTTCCTACTGGGTAATACTTACATGACAAAGAAAAAATAAGAAGAATAGCTCATTTCCAAATTGTACACATAAAGTACCTCGTTGTTACAAAAAATAATATAATAAAATCAATACTGTCACAATGTTTGGAAGCTAATATGTAAATTATGTCAACTAATATACTCGTAACATAATACTGTAATAACGAAGAGTGACCATTGTATAGAATGTATACAATATAGAAATTATTTTTACAATTATTAACAATTTATCGAAATCTCCATTTATATTAACAAGAGCTGTAATCATCGCAATTTACAAGGAGCCAAAGTAAATTTGACCATATTGCTTAAATTTACTGACAATGCTAAATAGACTCATTATTGTAGTTAGTAATAAACAGATTGATTAACCTACACCTTTTAAGGCACGTGATTGGAGAAAGGGAAAAACAATACAAAAACTGTGTTCTATCAATTCAATTTCGTCCACGAGATGGTTCTGTGTGCCTTGATGCATGTAACAGCGTTTATTGATCGTAGTAATTCCTTCGATGTTATTCACAACATTTGACAGATATTTCACATAATAAGTTGTTTTTATTTTTTTAAAGACACATGTGGTGTAATATTGTTCGCGTCGTACTTACTAAAGAAATTAAATGCTTTTCTATCGCCAATCGTCTAAATTCGATAGACCTAGTGCTGGATTACACACACACTTGCCAACATTTGTGGGCTAATTGCACCAAAGCATTTGATCACGCTTAATAAACCTTTTAGGTCTTGTAGGAAAAAATAACTTTAAATTGTTGAATCTTTGTGTAAAAGAAAATAAAGTCTAAAACGGCAAAATTGAAAATGTTTAGTCGTTGGGATAGATGTCTGTAACATTTTCCATTTCGCTGTTTCAATTGTTCTTTGCAGATTCCGTTTCTCTCCTTTTTAGTATTGAAACATAATGTCACATTCATGTTTAAGTGTTAGGAGTTGCTGAGAGTTGGCGAGAGGGGAGCAGGAAAGTTAAAGTATGTGACCTCAAAATAGCTATGGCATTTATCCATTCAAACATTTTTGGTTAATATGTAAAGCACTGATTTTCTCTAATATGACGATTGCAGGGTTTCGAAAGGAGAGAACATATATAAGTCAATAAATTAATGATGAATATTTTCTGTCATAATTAGTAAAATAAACATACAATATCTACAACACATATTTGAATCATTAACGTTAAAGCCGATCTCTTAGTTTGGAATATTTTGTAATCGATACATTGATCTTGCCTTAATATTTTTAGGAGCGTGTTCGACATAGTGGTGTTATCAAATCTATTTTATGCTAAGAATTCATAAAGGAACGTGTTTAGTTTTATATGTAACCGAAACAACAACCAGAACTTAAAATCCATCGATCGTTTAATATATGTAAAGTTGTGATATGCCTGCACCTGACTAAAAGTATTTGCAATTTTGAAAACTTTGAGTTTCGATCTCCAAACTGGCTTGAAAATCAACTTCAAAAACTATAAATTTTCTATTTCAATTTTTAAAAGAATTTTAATTTTTGATCTTTCAGACGGATTAGCTGGTTCGAAAATACAAAAAAAAAATCAGCTAATGAAAATCTTGTTTTACGATCTTCGATCAGGCATTCAAGTACACTTATGGGTTTATAATTTTGACCTTCAAGCTAAATCAAATTGATTATGAATAATATCGATTTTAAGTTGCTCGAAGTTCAAAACTTCCTCGAAATTTGATTTGAAATTGATTTCGGAATATCGATCTTCGTTATCAGTGCTAAAACCTTGTTACTTTAAAATCTTCATCCCGATATTGTAATCATAATTCAAAAAAATCGAGTCGAGCATCCATTTATGACAACAACAATCAATCAATCAATAACAATGAAAGGGAGAGTGACGTTCCCTTAACGCAGCCCCAACAACACCCACAGCACACAGGAACATTGGTATGGACCAAGCAGGGTAAGAAACAAGAAAGAGGGTACAAAAACATTTTCTTTTATTGGTGCACACTATAATGTAAATATTGATCTTGTTGGTTCCAAACTTAAAAATATTACTGAATTGACATATGATAGCCTAGGTATCTAACATTGCAAATACTTTCTTAATGAATGTCCTTGCTCAATCACTTGTGATTTAACGAGAAGACACAAAAGTGTGATAGTAAAAAGTCCGTCAACAATACTAAGAAAATATTATGTTTTCATGTAAATCGTTCGTCGTTTAGAAAAACCCTAGAAACATGATGAGAGCGGATATGCAGACGACAGGAAACGAGACGCTGAATCCAGAGGCACTGTTACACAAGTCAGACGTACACGAACATGCTTGAGCGCTATCCTTTTCTTCACACGTGTCGCCTTCACTGATATCTGAACAGCCCCTTCCCACAACTGTTTAATGATAAAAAAGTCATGAAACGTTTCGTTTGTAAATTGAAAAAGTTGGACGTACACAATTTTAATAACCCGATTGTTCTGATAGGTATGATTGTCGTTTAAGCACACTTTAAGACCAATTGTATCAAATTGTACAGCAAATGAAGTACAAAAATTAATCTTTATCATTTTTCGTACACGATTATGCAAATACCTGTTAATTATCGATCAAGGTTTGTGTTTGATAGTTTACATAGTTAATTCACCACTTACCATCACCAAGTTTACCCTTTATACATGATCCCGAGCATGATACGGTCGAAGCTGCGCTTTCGTCGAAAGGGTCGTTACAACCTGAACACTGGTAACACTTTAAAGACTGCACGCTTAATACTGAAAAAAAAAGAGGAAAAATCTTTATAAAAAATATCGTGAGTTTTTAGCGTCAAAGGTTAATTTAAGTCAATAAAGAAAATTTAATTCAGTCATTTTATCATTGTTAGTTATTACACTGCGCAAGGGTTTGTCAGTGCGTCAATGCGGGACGGGGGAGGTTTATTGATGTCATTAAAAGGCAATTAGTGCTGTCGAACTTGTATCTAGGGAATTAGGAAGCGGCAAAAGGCATGTTATCTTACGAAAGAGAAGATATCATATGATATCTTACTTTAAAGCTCCAAGGAGTTTTGATATTATAAATAAAAAAGAGTTTCATGTAAACGAATGGGATGTATCTTTACTTTTGAAGCCAAGTGAATACTGACAACAAAAGCTATTAAAATACACTATGAAGACTACGACAGAAGGCAACCGTGACAATAAGTAATATAGAAATTAAAATTCTTATCAAATCAAACTATTGAAAAAATAGTTTGTGTGCAAAGAATTGCATAGATAAACGTTGTCGTTTTTGTTTTAAAGGTAAGAAACATTGTCCAATTATTAACGATGAATAAATTTTATATATTTATCAAACCAATATCTATCATATTATAAATTAAATATATTGTGTATATAATAAGTACTTACCAGTCAGAAGAAAAATCAAAATGCCAAACAACAATGTATTTGCGCTGTTCATATTGAAATGATAAATAACTCGTTCTTGCAACCTTAGTTCAACGCCGCCCAGACCACAACTGAACCAAACCTTGATGTCAATCTTGTCGCACTACTTTTTTTTGATGTTGGCGGTAAACTGCCTGTTAAGATTATTTCGACATGAAACTGTATCTTTTAAAGCGGGAATTTTCATGTTATTGTAGGATACCGAAAGAAAAACTTTTTTTTAAAAAACATTTTCTAAATCTGACATTTACATGAACGCGATTTTGCATTATTCAAAGATTTATAATCAATCAATCAATCGATCGATCGATCGATCGATCAACCAACCAACCAATTCATCAGTCTGTCATTTAGTCAAAATATTTATCAATTAATCATTCAGTCAATAAATTCACCAATCAATATTAACTTATCAACCAGTCAATAAATTCGCCAATCATCAATCAATCAGTTCATTAATCCCTCAATTAAATGAGCAATCAATTAATGTATTTAGCAATTTATCTACCAATCAATCAGAATATTAATCAATTCATATGAAAGTACACATGTTAATTGAAAAAGTACTTTCGTGTTTCACTTAAATGTTTGCATAGGTAAAATACTGTTTTAAATGCATTCAAAAGCCTTTTCGATAACTTCGTTTTTACCAAGTTCTGCTTTAATATCTATGAATTAATTGTGGAGGATCTCCTTTAAAATGGACTTTATTGCATATAATTTTTCTTATTATGGATATAGATTATGGGCTTTTTTTTTAAAGAGTAATTATATTTAGAACGCGTAGGAATGTATCGTGGCGTTTTTCAACAAACAACCGAACTTTATTATTTTCATGGTCGCAAAATTGATTTAAACCATTTTCGAAAAATGCATCCCGTGAAGTTAAAACTTAAAGATAACATATTTGTTAGAGACGCTATCAAACCGTTTAAAAGATTTATTGATTTAATACAAATGTAGATAAATTAAAAGAAATGCCTTTTTTGAAAATGTTTCACTTAGATTGTTTTAACAAAAAAGGACCAATCAATACTGAAATGCAGATACGACAAGACATGTCACAAACATGCATAAATTATGCAGAAGTTGCACTATATTTCTTTAAAGTACTTGAAAGTACTGATGGAAAGCTAATGTATATATATTTGGGAATGGAATTTTCAAAACATATAAAAAAAATATCATACCTATATTTAGTTTGCACTCGAGAAAACATTTTTAGGCATGTGTGGGCGGGGGTTGTGACAGAGTAGGATGATAGGCCCGAACAATTAATGCGATAAAGATCATTGTATCACAGTTTTTCACGGGATTTTTTTGTTGAAAATGTGTCAGAGCTAAATCGTATACATACATGTATACATACACAGTGCGTTAACTGGAGTGCCGGTATTAGTCATCCGCACTCCAGAGCATGCTTAATGATTAGCTCATTTTTTTCTGGGGTTTACTTCTTGTGACGACAGAGAAAGGGAATATTATAGAACTATCATATTCAGATAATCGTTCATTGGTTAATTTTGTCATACGCTGCTGTTCATGGAATAGAACTAACGTCTCACATTGATGACTGCCGTATATTGAACTTAGTCAAATTGCATCATGTTTACATGCTGAATTATGTTAAGGTGCGTGGACGGTAGCTTGCTTTTACCACTACCGTTTATGAACAGACTCAATCAATCGAGATTGTAATATTTCCAATTTTGTCGTTTCGGCGTTATTAAGGAATTGCCACGGTACAGTTTCCTGATCTCAACAATGCTACAGGCGATATAGAGTTAGCTCTGCCGACTTTTGCCGTCGTGTTCCCTCATGTGTTTGTTTTGTGTTCTGCATGGATCCTTGCATGTCGTCATGTGTTAGTGTATTTTGTTGGGAGATGCGTTCATCGGTTGCCGCCCTTCTTTAGCGAACTTTATTTTCGTACTTTGTGAGCTCACTCTTTATTCAGTTTTTTTTTAATAAAAAATACTTATTGTACGGAAGAGCAAAAAACGTTATAAGAGCATGCCATAATAAATCAATATTAATCTATTAACATAATTAAATAATAATTTGAATATTCAAATATGATAAACCAGATCGAAAAAGAAAGGTGGTTTCAATGAACGCAACCCGCAAACGACCCGTCAACAAAACAAGCGGCAAGGAATCATTTATTATTGGTATTCATGTAGAATGAAAGGATATAAAATTTGAAGAAGAAAAAAACAGTTAAATCTTTTAATGCTTTTATGACTGTAAGTTGTCGGTCGAGATCTATCGAAAGAAGTCCATAAAAAAGAAAATATCCTTTTGCGGAAGAATTTTTTAACCGAAATCAATGATTGAAAAAAGAAAACACGTTGATTCATGCGCAGGTCAAAGATAACAAACGTTTTGGTAGATTAAAGCAGCAGGACATGGGAAATTATTAATAAAAAACCATTTCCATAACACTTGAAAAATATCCTTTGATATGAAAAGAAGAATGCTCCGCTTTTTTATTCCTGCTCTTGTCTATCGCATTTCTATCAGTTTTGATATGACTGGATGCTTATAAACTGCATTCTCATTTTATTGCCATATCAGCGTTGTTTGTGACGTGTGGAGGCTGTAAAAAGTCGCCCCGTACATTAAATCAGAGACGTTTTATTTCCCATCATTAAAGATCGTTCAATACGACATTATTGTTGTGTTTGTGGTATTTTTACTGTCAAATATTTGGCTTTTTTGATTTGGGTGGTTCCAATATTTCTACTTGAATAATGTCGAATCACCTCAAGGATATGTTGCTTGCCTTTTAAATTTGCCTTTGCCTTTTGACGTCTTGTCTTTAAAATGCAGGCTTCCTAAACTAATATTCCCTTTCAAATTACCATTTTATTTAGTTTCGTCAATTGCTTTTTCGTTGAGAACACACACATTCTTTTACTTGAGGACCATACGCCTTTTTTCATGGAGTGGAGCGAAGTGTCACTTTGAAGGTTTCATAATAACCGCCTTATGAACACATCTGCGTATGTATCTGAATTCAAAATGTTGCCATTACAGGTTTAAATGTTGAATTCTGCTTAAGCCGGTGCTAGGGGGCGTGGACGGTAGTTTGCAGTACTGTCCATATACAGACTCAATCAAACCGATCCTGTAGCATTTTTAATTTTGCCGTTTTGGACTTTCTTTAGGGATTTCTATTTTGTCTCGAGAAGGAAATTAAAGAAAACGATAAGTTAATAAGACGAGTGAAGGGGAAGGGGGTCAATATTAAAATAATGAGAAAAAACTATGGGCGAAGGGAATATACTTACCGTAGACGATAATTCTGCTTTAGCTGGTACATGTACAAAGGATCTTGCATTTTTCAATAATGCCAATGAACAAACTCACACTAACGGATTTTGCAGCATTTTCAGTTGTCCACTAAAGCTCTTATTTTCCTATTTGATGAAACACTACGCCTATTTGCAGTACTTACCGTTCTGGGGGGGGGGGCAGAAAAAATGCTAGGCATTACATGCTTGACACTTGTTGTTCACTCCATAAAACCTTAAACTATCCCGGACTATTGTCCATCCTGTAAGTTTTGAATTCACACATGTTACATTATAAACTTTGCAAAACATATAATAATACTACGTGTTACCTCATTTCCTCATTTTCACAAGTTCATTAAGTATGTGTACAAGATCATGAGGGGGAAGGCAGCCTCGGCAATATCCAACCACGGAGGAACACCAGAAAGGCATTAGGAGGGTACCGTTATCTTCAAATGGATTTCATCAATAAAAAATAAATGTGTGTTATTTAAATTCACCTATCGACTGAAAATATTACACTGTTACACAAATTAGAGTTTCACTCATTAATGCAGTCCTACGCAATTTTCGGAAACAACAAGAAGGGGAAAAATGAAAAAAAAAAAGATAATTTAAAATTAATTTATTAATCAATCAATCAATCAATAAACCAATTAATTAACCAATTAATTAATTACGGCTTGCAATGAAACAGCAATTTTGCATATGAAATGTTTCGCTGCATTTACAGATTTTGAATGTATGTTCGTTTCCTCAGGACTGAAAAGTATTTGCATTGTATTTATTTATAATATGCATCACAACGCATGCCTGTAATAGAAATCCAAGACTTGCCAAATTGTACAATATATTTGAACAGTTTAAAACATTATGTGACCTTGTGTTTAATTTAACTAAAATTCATTTTTTGTTACATATTAAGATGAGGTAGCAGGTCAGTATGATAAGGGCAATCTTAAGAGCCCTTTGCTATGGGGAAAAGGATTAAAGTCCTAACATTTAGACTGTGACCTATTTAATCGTTATTAATGCAAGATTAAGCAGGTTCAAAATTCATTTTCTGAAAATACAGAATTTCATGTAGGATTAAACAGATAAGATAAATAAATAGAAATATTAAAATAAGGCCAAATATTTGCATTTCCGTGTGCAAGGAATCGCCGTTCAGTCCGGTATTCGATTTCTTTCCTTAATGAACAATAGAGCTTTTTTTTAAAACATTGCAGTGAAAAAACGAAAAATGAGAATACGCATAATAGATAGTGATATGTTAATGTGTACTCTTATTAATGAGATATTTTAAGGTTGTGTAAAAATACAAAATTACAAAAAATACAAAAAAAGCAAACAACGAAAACAAAACAAAAAACAGTCAACCGATAACGATAACGGTCCCGGAATTCATTCGTATGAAAAAACCAAAAGACCAGTACCATTTCTGGTATTATCGGTAGATTTTGGTATTTCCATTTGTGCCTTTCACACTGTTAATATATTGATAAATTACTTTTGGAAACTAGAACTATCGCTGAATGCGATTCATACCCCCACCAATGTCCTTGACAGAAGACAATTTGGAAAGGTGGTTAAGGGAATAACTTAAGTGACACAAATACATAAAAAGAAATTATCTCTGGTGAAAAAAGACTAATTGTACAGGTAATAGTAAAAATATCTATTATCAAATCATGTTCGAAACAGTTACAAATAACCTTTCATTTTCCCAATATACTAAACTTTTTATAAGTCAATTTTTGACCTTCAAGTGTGGCCTTGACCTTCAGCTGGCACAAGGGTAAGATGGGTTCTGCACATCGCCCAATTGGAGTGAACATTTGAGTAAAGTTTGAAGAAAATCCTTCCATTAGTATAGAATTTATAGAGCGGACACAACATATTGTCTAGTATTGATTGTATGTATATTTAAAGACTTAAAAGGGCATAACTTTGTCAAAATCCAATACAGAGTTATGAAACTTGACCTGCATATCGTAATTGTGACACCTCATATATCTTTTAAGTTTCAAGCAAATACCTATGCTAGTTTCCGAAATATTCAAGAACATGTTTTAATCTAAGAACATTTTCTAAGTCAATTTTTGACCTTCAAGTCTGACCTTGACCTTTAGCCTGCACAAAGGTGATATGGATTCTGCACATAACCTTGTTTAAGTGAACATTTGAGAAAAGTTTGAAGAAAATTCTTCCATTAGTATAGGATTTATAGAGCGGACACAACATATTGTCTAATATGCGATTGTATGTATATTTGAAGATTAAAAAGGGGCATAACTTTGTTAAAATGCAATACAGAGTTATGAAACTTGACCAGCATATCTTAATTGTGACACTTCGTTTATATTTTAAGTTTCAAGCAAATACCTTTCCTAGATTCAGAAATATTCAGATATATGTTAAAATTAAAGAACATTTTCTTAGTCAATTTTTTACCTTCAAGTGTGACCTTGACCTTAAGCCGGCAAAAGAGTGACATGGGTTCTGCACATAACCTTGTTGAGGTGAACATTTGAGCCAAGTTTGAAGAAAATCTTTCAATAAGTGTAGGACTTACAGAGCGGACACGACATACTGTGTAATATTTGATTGTTTGATATTTGACCTTCAATTGTGACCTTGACCTTGAGCTGACACATGGGCAACATGGGTTCTGCACATCCCATTGTTGAAATGAACATTTGAGCCAAGTTTGAAAAAAATCTTTCAATTAGTGTAGGACTTACAGAGCGGACACGACATATTCTGTAAAATTTGATTGTTTGATATTTGACCTTCAATTATGACCTTGACCTTAAAATGACACATGGACAACATGCGTTATGCACATCCCCTTGTTGAGGTGAACATGTTAGCCAAGTTTGAAGAAAATCTTTCAATTATTGTAGGACCTACAGAGCGGACACGACATACTGTCTAATATATGATTGTGTTTGATATTTGACATTCAATTGTGACCTTGACCTTGAGCTGACACATGGGCAACATGGGTTCTGCACATCCCCTTGCTGAGGTGAACATTTGAGCCAAGTTTGAAGAAAATCCTTCAAGTGGTATAGGAGGTATAGAGCGGACACGAAAATGGAGACGGACGGACCGACCGACCGACTGACTGACCGATCGACCGACCGGCGCGACAAAGCGAATCCATTATAGCCCCCCCCCCCCACATTTTGTGGTGGGGGTATAATAATTGTCTGAGGTTTTTGTTTCATTTGATGAAGGTCTAGATCAACTTTTTTTTGCAAAATTTCAGATCATTCGCTCACTCCATTTTCTTATTGTGAAAAATATCCCCAAAATTGCGGGAAAAAAAACAACGTGCAACGCTTTTCATTCAAATTGGACTGAAAATAGCACAAAATACGTTTTCTATTGATTTTTTTTTGTATTTTTTCTATAGCTATGATTTGCTTATCTTTCTATTTCAAGTAGAAGCTGATCTATGTAAGAAATTAAAATTTTATGTTTTTTTAGGCTTTTGGACTCAAGTGGAGTTCATTATAAATCATTCATTATTCAAAAACAATATACTGGTAATATGAATTGAAGCAAAAACATTGACTACGTAACAAATGACTGTACTTAATTCTTGCCGGCCTCTTCCTGCTCCGCTACACGGGATTTTGTTTATGAAATTTTATGGAATTTCGGATAAATTTAATTTCTGTTACCTATATTTGGGTTCAAAACAAAAGAAAAACAAACAACATATATTAATAGTGAATCACTTTTATTTTACATTAATATATCCGTTTAGAACTACAACTGTTAAGTTTACTTTAAAAGGTAAAACATTATATTATTTAAAGAAATTAAATAATTACAAGGCAGCATAAAGATACATGTATCTATGGATGTAGATATTATATGGTGATATATACCCAGATATGACGTCATTGACTCTTGAGATGCACACCCTACTAAAAGTCCAGACTTTGATTAAATTAAAGATAACATTTTTATTTATTTAAGTTGTTTGATGAATGATCATAGATACATTTCGTTATCATTTTATCAGTATTTGAACAAAATAATTTGATTGTATCCATAAAATTGTCAACATATGCATACAAACTTTTAAGGTCGTACGTAAAAACAAAAAACTAGGCTCTCGTTCAAAATTACTGTAAAGAATGGAATAAAATTTTATCAGAAGAGACATTAATATTTTGTTTAACTATTCAATTTCCAAGTCTTCAAAATAGATTTTCATCAACCGAAAACCTGTACAAGTGATTACTGTCGTTGTTTTGCAAGTACCGCTAACATTTCAAAACACTCTTGTATCATAGTTTGGTGACTTTTCCGTTGATAATGTGCCAGATTGTCATCATATAAATGATATACACGCACAGTGCGTTAACTGCCGTGCAGGTATTTGTTACCCGCACATTGATTGGCTCTTTTATTTAGGTTTACTCCTTGTGACGGCAGAGAAAGAGAAAGCGGTAGAAATATCATATTCAGATGCTCGACCATTGATTACTTTTTTCCGTGCTTTCATATTGTGACAACGGGGACCGTGCTTTTTTATTTTTGCCCTTGATACAGAAGAGAAGAAACATCGAAACACGAGGATATCTGTTTTTAACGAGTAGGCGTTGTAAAAATCAGATTGCCGAGTTTTTTTTTGTTTGTTTGTTTGTTGTTTTTTTCCAGAAGGTCTATTTAGATGCAAGTTAACCAGGTTTTCCTCGGCTATGTATATATGTATTTTCAAATATACTTCTTGTTTCTATATGTAATAGTTTCGGTTAATATTATCAATCTTACACACCGTGTGAAAAGAATTTTAGAAGGAAACTTTCTTGTTTGCTTATGATATGATGTTACGGATACATTTTTATTTTTATCTTGAACGACACTTCTTAAATATGATAACAAATGTGATTACTTTGGGTCTGAATTTGAAGTGCTAAACATGTTTGAATCACAGGCGACATGTTAGGTATTGAACAATGTTAAAAATAATTAACAAGAAAAGCATTGATGCAAAGCATCAAAGGGCGTCCAAGCAAGAAATACAGCAAGTGAAGATGAACTAGTACACATATGATGACAAGATATTCTTATAAACTACCAGAAATGTATATCACTTATGAATGAACGGACGAAAAACATTGTTCATTATGAACTTTGATCGGCATGCTAGAGATTAGAATATTACTTGTTATTTCTTTATGATCGTGGTTATTAATAGCAACGGATATACATGTATGCAATCATTTAAAATCCATATGTGTAACGCATGATCAACACGTACCACACCTTTGTAATTGTCCCTTATTATGTTATCGCTATTAGCGTAGACCACCTCTTAAGGTATCTGTTCACACTTAAGTTAGTAAAAATATGACACTGGTTATATTACCATGTTGATCATGTTGAGCATAATTGTTTATTGTACATTAATTGTAATATCTATTAATTTTAATAAAAAAAATACAAATTTTATGAATATTGTTTTCTTTTCTTTTTAATTTTATGTGCTATTTTAATACTGAGTTTTTTACTACTCTTTTTTTATTAAAATTGTAAAATAAATTTTAAGAATTCAATTGTCGTATTGACCGACGATTATAAGTCAAAGCTTATCTGGTAAAAGTCAGTAAATTATGGTTTATCTTTCAATATATAATATTGTTTATTCTTAAACCATGTACATGTACTTTTGTATTTTTCTTTATAATTTTTTAAATTATCAATCAATTGAATAGTTCATAAAATCTAATTTGTAACTTTGAATAATTCCTCGGCATCTTTACTAAACACGGATAACAAATTAAATAAAATGTTTCACAGTTGATAATGTCATTTTAATACCATAAAAATGTAGCTTTTCTCAATTATTGTACATATCACGGATTTATATTACATATAAATCCGTGTACATATTTATTGTTTTTATCTCATATAGATAAAATGAAACATGCTATTGTTGTTGTTTTTTCTAATTGTAACGATATCAAACATCTACTCCAAAACCGGGAGAGACCGGACAATAAACGTGTGGTACTATTCGCCGGTCACTAGTAAATCCCGGTCAAAATAGACCGGGAGAGACCGGTAATGATAGGAGTGATAAATAGATATATCTATAAATAGATTTTTGGAATATTTAGGTCATCAGCTGATCATTCTAGGTAAATGTATAAACAATAACATACCATGATAACCCACTGTGTACTACAAAATGATAAATAAAAAACCCCGAAGAGCGCGATTTATTGACGGAAAAGGTTATTTCATTTGAAAATGTTTGCATTGCGAAATTCTCCAGTTTGCTATTCATTGTAACATATCGCGACATTTCATTCTTAATTAATAATCAAGCACTCTCATACCGATCGGAATGATCGGCTTTTATTATGACCGACTAAAAGGCTCGAGAAGTTGCTGTCGCCCTTTCACAAAATCTGATTTCATTCCATAAGGGCGCCGCGCTTCGGCGCGGACGCCAAATAGTGCAGACATATGAAATCACTCCGTTAAAAATAACCATAAACGTCACCACGACTCATCCAATCATATCGTCAGATGCCCATTTTCAATTCAATTTCCTGATGGCCTTGTGTTCAAGTTAAATTTTAATACAACTACTGTTACATATAATTAAATTCATCGTGTTTTTTGTACATCAGCAAACTTCCAACGAAAAATAAAGAGAAGACATTCGATAATTGAGTAGGTTTTAAACTTTATTCTCCTTTTTCACAATATGATAAAATTTGACCAATTACCTAAACCATCATTTGCTTGTTGTTTTTTGACAATAAGTGAAAATAGCATGACTTAGTGTTTTGTATGTAGTCAAAATACTACTTTGTTTACATTTTGCTACTTTATGACACATTATTTCACGTGAGCGTTACATTTTCTAGCTGGTAAACATCTTAATTGCTCTAAACGCGTCATATAAACGTTATAAAACTCATGTTTTCCTTTCTACAGAATAAAAAAATCATTTCTGGGGCATAATGTGTCCTTAATAAACCCCTTTACGCTTTGATTTCATCAAACTGGAACGTTCTTGTTTTAAGAAATACATAAGTTTACGGTACGTCGGAGCTGATTTGCGTTCATTTGAGTACATCTTGTATTTTTGCAGACGACAAAAGATCAGTCATGTGGTATTGCCAGATTATATTCACATATTTCACCGTCATAACACGGTATGATTTCATTTAAATATGTTTATTACATATATGTATTTTTTGTCATAAAAAATAACTTTTCATTATTTTTGGGCGCAAATTACTGTTTAGAAATGGCTTTTAATATTGTATTAGAACATTCCGTTACTAGAATTTATCATGAAATTTAGCCCGATATTACAAAAAAAGAACCAGATAACTTTTCAATATTTTTGGGCGCAAGATACTGTTTAGAAATGGCCTTAAATATCAAAATTACGATATTCCGCTCACAAAATTAAGTAGATGATCAAAATGATCTACAGTTTACCTCCTATTCGCCATGCAAAAGCGCCTTCTACTCGAATACCGTACATTATCGCGCCAAAAGTGACATCTCTTTCAGTATGACTTAATGACGCTGAGCCGTATGTCGTCCATTTAGATTCCAAGTCAATATTAATGACGTTATAATCTCCGTAATGCGGAATTGTAACCAGTGTCACTAACATATTAGAAATTTCTTTCCCATCCAGAAATAGTCCGTATGGGTCATGACACACGCTGATGTAGATTGTGACCCCAACTCTCATAAAGTAGTCCGGAATAACAAAGCTGTAGCCAGAGGCGAATGAATTCAGCGCAGAAACCATTGATGGATCACCTAGACCAAGGTCATCGCTTACAACGTCAAGGGCGTATTGAGTGACAATGACGCCTTTATTTGCTGCGATAGAAAGTGGTTGTGAATCTAGTTCCATTTTGAAAAATTCAGTTAAAACATCAAGTGTTTCATTTGCTACCAGTTCACCATTTGCATTTCGAACAGTTAACACAATATTGTCCTTAGCGGCTTTAATTCGGTATGAGAACCCTTTCCTTGGATTATGTTGGGCAACAATGTAGGCGTGGCCAAACATTGATCTGGGCGGGACTTGATTAACAAGATGATCACAAGAGGCTGTCATTCCGGATGGAACATAACCGCATTCTGAGCCAGAAATCATGACAACATTGTCAGTAGCTGATATAGATGTCCCTCTAAGATCCTTTTCCTGTAAAAAGTAGGACTCTAAATAACCCAACTTGTAAAATACCCTCCCTCTTTTGTTGGTGATTGTGACGTTGATAGTTGTGTTTTGTGTGCCAATTATGGCGTACTGACTGGTCTTGTAAGTTCGATGGCTCTGTTCCTCAACTAGATATTCAGAGGATAAACAATTTACTGGATACACTATAGTACCGTCGGCGGTTGTATAGGACAGTCCCCGGCTATTTACAGCAATAACCGAAATTGGCGTGTCTGAAGTTATGTGCACGCCTTTTCTCGAGTGCTCTTCAGCCATAACGAGGGTCGTATCTTCAAACTTCCATTTATATGCACCCTGTATTAACAATGATTCTTTGTAGGACAAAAATGGTATGGTCACCGTGACATTATCAACCTCCGATGCCATTATGTACAAAATAGATCTTTCCGGCCCCACATTGTGTAGAAAGCCTGTGATAAATTTTGTACCAGCCAGGTCGCAACCTTCAAAAGTAAAAAAAGTGCGGTTATACATCTACATATCAATACCGCATACTTCAATAGCTTGACTGTTTCAACTCAATGAAAAAGAAATCCCAAAATGTAAAAGAAATCGAGAAAATTCAGAGACGTGTATGTAATTATCTATTGAATAAAGCTTCACTGTAAAACATTTTAAATAAGAGAACACATCACGATAATTTTTCAGTTGAACAGGTAATAGTTTTTGTGTTTTTACCAGTAACTAATGTGAATGCTGAAAACAATTATACATATATATAAACATATAATTTTACCCAGGAACTTTCATCTGCTAATCCGCACGGTCATTTTTCTGTCACAGACTGCACTTCCTGGAATACAGGTTCCATTCGAGCATCTAAACTCCGAATCTGTGTAAATTCTAATCATCGGTCAAGGACCTAAAGTGCAAATGATTTGTAAAGTCTGGTTGTTTCAGTATCCGTTCTTAACACATGACGTTACTTGTTTTGTACGTAATTTAACAACAAAGTAAGTTTTTAAACGCTATTGCAACGTAAAGACTTGATTGCACGGCTGTGCATATATTTTGGCGTGACGTTATTTGCGTAATACAAACATAGCCCTAACCTAAGCGTTACTATTAAAGCGCGTCAATGTGATTCTTCTGTAAGCAGCCCATGTGACAATAATACATGTATATTCGTGTAGTTTTATCACTGAAGTTATTGAACTCCTATGGCGTTGAATAGAATACATGTTATAATCAAAACTTTCAATTAATTAAGTATTGAACTAGCATAATATTATATAAAATATCCTTTAGATATTTTCATAAGTGTAATGTAACATCTTTGTGACATCATTTTTGTCTGTACTTTTTATTAGAACGACGTTGTACACAAGCGTGCATAAAACGTAAAAAAATATTTTATTAACTTCAATGCGTTTAGTCATATGCTTAAAAGAATCTCCCCTTCGTTGTCATAAAAATGATTATTAAACGTTAACAAGTCAAATGCTGATGCTGCACATCAAAGACGCCGCCGAATGATTTGAACAGTCAATCATCATTGAAAATCGTTCTCTATTACAGTTGAATATCCGAAGTACAAATCAATTTTTTCTCTATGTTCTTGGTATGTGCTCGTTGTTTAATAATAAAGTTGGATATTTTTTATGAAAAAGTAGAACCTAATGCATGAATTCATAAAGTGATGCCATGTCTGAAATTCTAAAATGTCTGTTGAAAAAAAAAGATTAAAACGTCTGGTTGAAGCAAAATAGATTGGATAACAACTAAAATTGAAATGACTGGTATACTTAAAATGAATTCAAGACAATATGTGCCGAGAATATATCCATTTAAATATTGGTACGAATTGCATAATGTCCGAATGATTTTAAAGACGAACTGTTCTGCAGTGATCTCCCCTAACTGGCCGTAGCGTTACAAGTTTACAGCTGCAGGAGAACCGCCTCTCTGATAACTTGGGCGTGGTTTCGGCTTTGTGACTTCGACAAGTAATATTGATTAAAGTTGTCTTGGTTCCCTTCTGCCCCGTCAACGAACACTAAATGCTAGCATACGGAGCATCATTTTAAATGTTCGCGACAATTAAAGGCGGAGCCGAATTTCAACAGATGCGGAGCAAATGAAGTAAGTGATTCTGCATTAGTCGTAACCTCTTTCAACGATTAAGTTTTAGAACGATCGACTATAGACTGGCTCATTGGCACGTTATTTATTAAGTAGATAAAAAAAGATACTGATTGAAAGAATATGATATTTAAACATGGTACTATAATTTCAGTAAGACGTTAATTCTTATACCTTAAAGCTCTGTTTCATGTTGTACATCAGAAAAGCTATAATTTTTATTAGAAAATATGAGAACAATGTGATTTTGTTAAAACAAAAGAAAAATAATTACACAAAATTAAGTCTAAAATTTCCCCCATTGCCGTATGGACAAATGCATATCTACAAGACGCCGCTTGCAATGGGACGTCTAATGATTTGAAATTATTTCAAATAACAATTTCCATTCGTATATAATTGCCCGTTGTTGTAGTATCATTATTACCACTGTCGATTGTTCCATTGCCGCTATTGATTGTTCCATTACCGTCGTCGATTGTTCCTTTGCCACTTCCGTTCTTTGTTAGATTACCGCCTTCAATGGTTGTTCCGTTAGTTGTTTTATTCCCATCTATCCCAAACTATTTAGAAGTAAACGAAATTAAATATACATTTAAATATATCCTTTCAAATGAAATAATATAAAAATATTTAATTTTTGGCAAAACATTATATAGGTACAATTATTAAGAGATTTGTGGCCCATCGGTAGCTTTGTCTTGATTAATATATCAAAAAACTATATTCACTCGTTCATTTGTTAGTCCGTCCAGACTTAAAAAATGAAAGGAACCACAACGAACTGGCTGGTTTATGTTGACACTTAACTTATTTATGTGGGAAAATGCCACATAAAGATAAAAAATATGTAGATCACAAATGTTGACATGTCTATCATTCAGTCCGTACCTGTCCAGAAGACATGAGAAAGTTTGCTTTTGTGAATTTATGAGGAATACGAATTTTTAACACACTGCCTTTGTCTTATTTCGTTTTATAGGGATTGACGAAAACGAAATGTGAGGTTTAAAAAGATCGAATGTTGATCAAAGAACTAGTCACATTTTGTAGCTTTGATAAACAGAACAGCCAGTTTTTTGTTTGATCTATTCATTTGTTTATGTATTTATTCATTATTTATTTATTTATTTATTTACATGTATTCATTTATTTATTTCAAAATCGCAGCAATTTTGGATTTTGACCATTTACGAAATCAATACAATATATGATTGCGACATATGAACATTTTAATTATAATTTGTAATATACGGGTATATGTATATCAAGTTTAAAGGATACAAACCCACATAAGGTAATATACATAAAATAAAATAATGTACAAACTAACAATTTTTCCATCGAGGAAATACAAAAGCGTCTGAAACACAATTGTGTTTTATTTATAATATTATTTTAAAACTAATCGTATATTCGTTCATATTTTTCATGATTAGCCTTTGCAATAAAGATATTAGTAAACAGATGTAGTTTAACACTAGAAGTTTTCTTGTCGTCATTACTATGCCAAAGATATATTACCTGTTCCGCCATTTTCACCGGTCTTAAGTTTTCTCATAATGGCGTTCTCTTTTGATGGTTTACGCAACCAGGACCTGAATCTTGACAATCGTGTCGCCACCATAACATTATTGGAACAGCCGCTGTTATCTATATGTATACCAATCTGAACACTCGCCCCGCCATTTAAAGTGCAGACGATAGGATTACCATGTCCCGTCTGTAAATAATGTTTATCGTTTGTATAAATCAATATTTGAGCGAAACCTACATTGTTAAAAATTCTGGAAAAGTGATATCCCTGTGGCGCAATTAAAAATAACAACAATAAAACAACTTTTGAAAATTGCATTCGTGGTTTTATTGAGTTCATGCCTTATGTTTACAATGTTTACAAGTTGTTCGCACATGTCATCATATAACTTTGATAAGTTAACATGTGCTTTGCACATGTCATCACGAAACTTTGAGAAGTTAACATGTTGTCTGCAAATGTTATCATAATAATTTGACATAAACGCACGGTGTTTGCACAAGTTATCATGATAATTTGACAAGTTAACAGTACGTTTTGACATGTGAGCACGATTCAATATATATTTGTTACTTTATTATAGTCTGATCTATACATACATATACAATTACAATAATATACATACAGTAAATTGTATAGTCATTCTTTTAAAAATCATAACAGACTGTTTTAGTTTATAAGAGGGGCAACTCAACAGTCCATATGACAGAGATCTATAATATCTACTGTAGATTAACCTCCCTTATTTACATAATTATACACATTTACTGTTACATGTCAAGATAAGCACATCATAATTAATATCTCTATGACATTTACAAGTAAAACAGCATATTCCAACCATTGAATGTTATACTTAAAATAATTAAATTGTACTAATATTTATATCTACGACATAACTATATGAGTAATATCCTTAGGGTTGTTAATATTAAAATGAAAGAATGAAATCTCATTACTGTACTAAACCCTAAATGGTTGTCTCCCTATAAATGTACTAAAATCATCTATACATATTTCTTATATTTTGTCTTTATACATTCTAAAAATTTTATAACAACCACTGACCTCAACTAAAAAGATAACATGTCCTTTGCACAAGTCATCACAATCAAATTACAAGTTAACATGTTGTCTGCACAAGTCATTATAATAATTTGACAAGTTAACAAGGCATTTGCAAAAGTCATCACGATAATTTGACAAGTTAACATGCTGCTTGGACAAGTCAGCATGATCCTTTGAAAAGACATAATGTGAATTTCACATGTTAACATGCTGAAATGACATAATAATATCATCGTTTCACAAGACAGCAAAAACACTGATCCCATAAGACAGTACAGTCACGGCGTTCCATATTATCAGTTCCTACTGAAAGTGAAGGCAACTAGAACGACAATCTGCACAGGAACGATGCGGTGGTTAAACTGTGCTCTGGTAAATTCAATGTGGCTTACTGCCGTGATCCGGAGTGAAAACTACAAACACCAACATCACATTTTGCTGTGATAAGGAAACACTTCAAAGCTACATGCTCTACGCATTGGACATAGAAAAATAGAGAGAAAAAATAATAACCGGGCATTTGTTTTTATTTCCCGCCTTTCTTACAAAGCATATTTGTTCCTTTCTCGTCTTTCCAGAATTGTATTGTTAGCATTGAGAGTAAGTTAGAAGATGAATAGCAGTATCTGCAAATATATATATCTTTCTCAGGTATATAATTATGCTACTTAAATACAATTTTTTATAATATTATATAGAATTTTTTCTGTATATTTTGTAAGTGGAATAGGTTGCGCGTTAGGGCGAGGGGT